CAGTGAATCACACACAGAAACCAAAGTGCGTATTGTTGATGGCGCTCGACAATCGTTAGTTATACGATTTCTCCGACAGCCTTCTAATAATTTGTTGACCATAAAACATTATTTATGCATAAAAAACATTTTATTTATGGTAATTATTCAGGCCAGCGACAGAAGTTGTAATAGTTTTTGGCGATTGGCCTTTCTCAAAACAAAATGCCATAAACAAAATCACGTGATTAATTGGAATAGGCCATTGACTTAGTATTTTGTATGTTAGTCTTAATTTTCGAACATATTGACGCTAGTTCGGTAAGTTGATGCTTCGGTGAGTTTGATGCTAGTCCCGATTGTAGAAGTTGTATAACTCTAGGCTGAATGCGTTCCATAGAAACTATGGAACCTGGCAAGGGTTTAGATCTGCTTCCGGTGCCAACTCCCTAATTCGAGACAGCAGAAACCGAGCCAAAGCATCACAGATGTCATTTTGACAGCCAGGGAGATGACTAGCCTTAATTAAAAAGTCTCAAACGGCGTAAGGCCAAAATTCTGACAAGCCCCCTGACTGCCTTTGATTTTGACGTTAACTAATTGAGTATAAACGTTAACTTATTGAGTATATGCACCACTGCAATATTATCACAATTAAATCTTTTTTTTAAATTACTTATTCCTCGCCCCAAATGAATAATGCATCTAAAATGGGAAATAGTTCTAGAACAGTACGTAATATCCGCGGTGATACCTTATTCATGCCACCACGTTGGCCATCTTGCATTGCACCAATGACCCTTGTAGTTAAGACCAAAACCTAAGCCAATAACCCCAGCGCTATCCTCATTTGAGACTCAGAATCTGTCATGATAAACAGAAATACCGTTAAATGACCCTGAGAAAACTAGCCACATAGACAAATCCAATTTTATTTCTTTCTTGATTCCAATTCGATGATGAGATTTAGTAAGCCCACATATTGAATTGATTTAGCGGCAAATAAATGTCCAGCCAATAACTATGGCACGGCAGCAAAAATTTAAAGATCCAATTAAAGATTGTATCTCGTTTAATGTTGACTTTAATAAGATATTCTTTATTTTTCCAACTACCTCGGTTATTTGGCCGTGGGTATTCTCACAATAATTTTGTTTGAATCTAGACCTATAAACGAGGCACTCAGTGGGCCCCTCGGTCTTATCTTTGGCTATGAGCACCCCCAATTCTGACATTGTTTCTCTAAATATTTGCAATGCCCTATTGCAAGAGTCCATCGACGTATCACCTCCCAAAAAATCATCTAAATAGTGAATAAATTTCCCCGATTGAAAATGAAATGTAATGCAAAATTCTAAGAATCTTGAAAATCTTTCAAAGATTATTCAGCATACAGATGCTCCAAATGATTAGTACCTTATCAAAATAAAACTTATAAAACTCATTATAACGAAAACCAAGCAACTCAAAATCTGAAGGTTTAATAGGTATCAGACGGCAAGCACGTTTAATATCGGATTTAAAAAGTTTGCAGTGCTGACTTGCACTGCTGATCTTGAATCATCGAAACTGGTGTATTGAACCGTACACAAGGCCGGGTCAATATAATCATTGATTGATTCGTCCGGCGGATATGACAGATGCTGAATTATTCTGAACTCCCCGGTGTTTTTCTTTGGGACCGGGATACAATAAAATTTGGCTGGGGAAGCTCATTGAATGGTCCAGCTGCGCGGCCAACTAAGATTTCTTTATTAATTTGACTGTTTATTATTTCCGGGTTTTACCGAGAGTAGAACGCAGGTTATTGGAATCACGTGCAACACAGGGGCCGGAATTCTGTAGTGGAAAGCCATTCTTAAAACCATCATTTAAAAACTCTTCTTCAATTTCATTATAAAATTGCAAATGATATTGCATAGCCGAAAGTTTAATTGGAGATTTTGCAATATTATGAATATCTGGATTTGACTGTTTTTCTGATGTACAACGATGATACATCGATTTAATTGTTTGACTGCCCTCTATTGTAACCTCTCCATCTTGAATAGGACTGAAACCCCTTACCTCAAAAATTACGTTCAAAAGCTGGTGTACGACTTTTCTGTGTATAACCAATTGAGTTTGAAGAGAAACAGTTTATCTCAGGATGGGGCGCATTACACTTCGCGCATAAGTAAGGAAAAATGCAGTTTTGCCACATGCATCTACCATTATTATAATCAAGACATGTGTATGTTTTGGGCTTGATCGCCACCGTAGGTCATTGTTGATTTAAGACCATGGTGAAGGTGTAATAGTCTGGTGTTAGCGAAACTGCTCATCATTTGTTTTCCAGGCTGACCGGCTTTGTTTCATAGCGCATTCTCTTATATTGTACATATAATGTAGCAGTTCATAAACCTTGTCTCAATGATGTGATAGGTATATGGAGCAATATATGATGAATGCGTTTGTCCATTTTTCCATATCATAAATGTTATCTTTACACACCTTGGGAGCGGAAACCAACTGTAAATCGGAATTAACTCGGATAGCTCAATTGCTCCTTTTTAGCAACAACGCAAAATTAACGTACTCGTCTCTACAGATTTGCTGATTGAGAACTATAGGGCTATGAGCCGCCAAGTTATCGTCTGCTAGGCGAACAGACGGTGCTGAGCATTCATTAGGTGGTGTCAGCGGCCTATAATGAACATTTGCATTATTACTGGTTGTTCCAGACCCCAGAGATTAATCATTATTCACACGTGTTGGTAAATCTTTATTTGAAATAATCCCTGATGCACTCAAAATTCGCTCGAAGTCGATAACTTGTACTTACCCTCTTCTGATTCTAGAAGCATAACATCTACCATGTCGTCCAATTCATCGGCTTGGCGCTTCTGTCCCCTAGATTGTCTGGCATCGACGTGCGGGTTATCCTGCACGTGCTCTTGACTCTTCTGGGACTGGGCGCTACCACAAGCATTTACTGCTCTACCTGAATGACGTAGAGCTAAATTTTCGAGACTTTCGATGGTCCCACGTGCATTTCAAAGCAAACAACGCTCCCCTAGAGGAATTTCAGGTACTGAAGCTGACTGTCCCCTCTCGCTGCGTCGCGTAGCCATTTCTATTCTCGTCGGCTGAATCATTCAGCGTGTACGACCTCGTTGCATGGCAAATAATTTTCAACTTACTCCAATTTGTTGTGTTATAGCTTCGTCGTCAAAAAATAACTGAGACAGTTGCACAGGAAACTTTGGCTTTTATTGGAGAGGTCATCAGACCTCCCCACAGTGTTCAGACTGGTTGCTGGCGGCATCCTTTTTTGCGTATCTGATTGTAGTGAATGAGTCTCATTTAAAGCGTAAAATCATTAAGAGCAGTCTACAAAAATTGTTTTGCGCATGCTCCGTTTCGAAATACGACTTAACTTAATCAAAAATGAACATCGAAGTGATCAAATCGGTACATAGAAAAATCGGAAAATATCAGTTACGTTACTTAGAGCTACGTGAATGTTTCATACCGTTTTAATATTTTAATCTGTATAAGTCGATTACCGTATTGTTTTCTGAATAGTGTTTTACTATTTCATGTTCCGATAAATAGTAACAGTGAACATTATAGCCACAGCATCACCATGCGCTATTATATGACCGAGTGAACCGTGTACCGAAATTTTGCTGCTTTTTAAACTTTTGATCAAATATTGGGGTTGGAGGCATGCAGCTTTATATACTGTTTATTCCAATCAAATGATATAAACATTTTCTATGTAAATCCTGGACTTAAAATTGTTTGATTAAAATACTTAATGCCCGTTTTGGAAAATGTAGAAGAAATGTTTCCAAATACTTACCCAAACATCAACCAAAAATTTACTTAATGAGTTTAACAAGAAACTTTTATTTTAAAACTACTTTTAACATGTATATTAATATATCATTTATCTTTTTTAATTAAGTAATAGAAAGAGCACTCGAAACATGAGGCTATCTGATTTCTATGAGGGGCGTGGCCCCCCTCCCATCAAGTATTAATCAGATTGCCGAGTGTATGAGGGGCGTAGCCCCCTCCCCCCCCCCCCCCCAAGTAATAATCAGAATGCCGAGTGTTTTGATAATCGTTCTCTTTTGAATCATAGTCAAACATAAAACACGTTCCCTGTCGTCACAATATGAAACCCAAGAAAAAAGGATCCAGTGAACGAGCATCTGAATATGATATTTTTGTCGCTTTCTTTTTCTCTGCCGTGACAACAAGTAAACCCCAGCAAAAATGAGCCAATCAATGGACATGCTCTGGAGTGCGGGTAACTGATACCTTAACTCCAGTTCATTCACTGTGCATGTATATGTATATGATTTTACTCTGACACATTTTCAACAGAAAAGAACCCCAAACTATGATACAAGTTCCCTTTATAAAACAGGTATCTCTTTATGCGCCAAGAGAAAAAAGTCCATTTCTCCGGCACATAATCTTTCAAAACATTTTAAAAAATGAAGTGTAAAACAAACTTTCATTATGATACTATATTCAATATATTTAATAAATTCTATTTTTTTTTAAATAATTGTTATTTATAAAATATACCCAAATATTTTCAAACCACAGCAAAAAGACCTCTCGCATGTTTCTTTTTAAAGAGGCAAACTTGTATTATAAACAGCTAATTCTTTAAACCTGACCCTATATAGAAATGATAAGACAAACACGGTAACCAGTGTTATGTAAACAATCTATAGATAATGACCGAGGTTTGTTGATTGTCACGTAACGAAAGCTTTAAACAAGGCTTAAGCACACGATTATTTCTCTAAAATAAACGGAATTATTTTAATTCTAAAATAATCTTTATTATTATACATGTACATGATTTATAACTACTTCAAATAACAAAGTCCAATATATTATACACTGATAATGCTATCAGATAAAAATACTAGGCTGATTTAAATAGCTACACTATTCATATCAGCTCTGAATAAAATGAATCAGGCTTTTTACATATAAACTTGTTAAACCCCTGTTATGTTTTTGTAGTAACTAGGAAGTAAAAAACGACATTGTAGAAAATGGCGGACGGAGGTATTGGATCAGATGAATTTGTCAACTTTAAATGTTGTTTATGTGTAAAGAAAAATATAACAAAAGAGGCGGATATTTATTGTGTGGAATGTCAGGATTATTATTGTACACCATGTACAGACTTTCACAAAATGTTTCCTGCAATGAGCATGCATCAGTTTATAGACAAGTCAAGTTTTAACACAGTTAGCTTACATACATCGTTGCCAAGTTTTCCTGTTGAAAAATGTGAAGTTCATAAAAGCAAGCTGCTAGATATGTATTGTGCTGACCACGATGACGTAGCATGTGCGACCTGTATAGCTATAAAACACAGGTTTGATATTATTTTAATTATTGTATTTAATTAAATTGAAATTAAAAGTTTTGGCAGCTATAATTTTCTATCAATGTACATTCACCTCAAACTGAATTAAAGACAATTCATATCTTTGTTATTATTATTTTTCAAACTTGTAGAAAACATAAAAGCACATAAAATAAGCTCACTTTCATCTATTTATTGTTCCGACTCAAATGAGATCAAAGTTAATCAGTAAAGGTATCTGGGCCAGTATTATAACAAACTAGATGCCCAAGGGCAACATGTCGAGTCCGCTGTCGTATTTTACCTTTAAGTATGACCTTGAGTTTTGACGTAGTCAACAATTCTTAAGCACGACATGCCGTCCCATGATGTTGAACATCTGTGCCAGGTTATTTTTAATTACTTTAGCTATAAAGTTATGGTGCAGTCAATCTGTTTGAGACAATGTTTTCTTGCATTTGTCCTTAAACTTTGACCTTGACCTTTGACATAGCTACATGGTTCATGTGCGCTACACACCATTTCATTACTCATTACTGTTTACAAACATGTCTTCAAAACTATTTGAAATTCTGTGAAGTAATGACAGAGTTACACCAAGACAGGCATAATACGGACAGATGCACTGACACACACACACACACACACACACACACACACACGCACGCACGCACGCACGCACGCACGCACGCACAAGCGCGTATTTACACCAAACCAACATTGTGAGAGCTATATCGAGCTTGCCGCATGCAGGCTCAACAAAAATAGTAGAAATATTGAATAAAAAATTATAGGCATAAACAGATATTTCAAATGCCATGTTACATAAGTAACACAGCATACTGCCTCAGAATAATTTTATTATCTATTTTCTCAATTTTAGACACAATTGGTTAGTTAGTCATATGATGATATATTAGTCAGTAACCTTAAAGGCACAGCATGCCTCAAAAAGAAATAACATTTTCCTTTTGTATTAAGGAAAGAAATGTGTTTTATAATGTTGTAATTATGGATTTAGAACATGTGAGACGCAAATCACCTGAGAAAATTGCCTTAAATGTGATATAATTAGTAATAAAGATAGTAAAATGTAAAGAAAGTGGTATTGTGACAAAATACTCACTATAGTAGCTGTATGTCTATAATGGCTAAATGCAAAATAAGCAAAATAAGACTGAGCTTTACATGTACAGCAAATAAAATGATTTTTGTTAAATGTACCACGGCAGCACGAAAATAATTGCTTTGAAAATAATCATAGCATTTATAAAGTTAAATAGGCTGTTAACTGATATCAAAAATCATTCTCATAATTTCAGTATTTTTATATTAAAATTTTCAGAACCTGCCAACATATACATTCGATACCAGATGAAGTTGATGACTTATGTAAGGAGATTGATGCTGATAAAACAAATATTGAGCTGATTCGCATAAAAACTAAAATTGAGGAGGCTGAGAGAGCAAAGAAATTTCTTATCAAAGAGCTCAATGCACAGAAGGAGAAAGCAACAGAGTCAATAAGACAATTCAGAAAAGAATTGGAGGTAATACTTGATACACTTGAAAAGACTACATTAAAAACTTTAGAGGAAAAGTACAAAAATGGCAAAGGGAAACTAGAGGACGAGATTAAAAACCTCCATAGACATATTGATGAACTCAAATTATCATCACAAAAACTAACAAAGTCAGTTGGGAATAAAGCACAAGAGTACGTCGCTGTGAAAACTTCTCGGAAACAAATCATTGAAGCTAATGAAGCAGAAGCAGAGTCTGTGACAAATTCATCAGATGTTAAAGTGGAATTCATTGCTGATTCGACAATAAAGGATGCTTTGAAAGACTTCAAGACATTTGGATTAATTTCAGTGAGTAATACTGAAAATATAAGAGAGAAAATGTATGTTGTGAAAAGCAAGAAACAAGTTAACATCAAACATCAAAATGATAGAACATCATGTCATGTTTTGGGTTCATGTTTCACAGATGATGGACTATTATTTCTAGCTGACTATAACAACAAAACATTCAAGCTTATTGATTTGTCCTCAGAATCCATAAAAGATAAGCTAAATCTTGAAGCATCGCCATATAGAATTTGTCAAATAAGTAAAAACGACTTTGCAGTAAGTTTGAACAATCAAACCATTCAATTTGTTACAATGGACAAAGAACTTATTACCACCGGTCAACTGAATCTAGATCATGTATGTAATGGACTGGCCTACAAAGACAACAAATTATTCATCTCTGATTCTAATACAGCGCTCTACATTTATGATATGAATGGCATCATGTTGAAAAAAATCACAACTGATAAACAAGGCAATGCAATTTTCAATGACAACAAAGATATCAGTGTTAGCAGTGATGGCAAGATGATTTATGTGGCTGATTATTATAAAGGTCTGATTGTCCTTGACATTGAGGGAAATTACAAGACAACAATTACTGATCCTGATTTTATTAATCTATTTGGAGTTTGTACAGACAAACGAGGAAACATATTTGTGTGTGGATGGGGGAATTCTAAAATTGTCCAGATCAATGAGAAGACTACTGGAAAATTGGGCATACTTGGCAATGTTTGTCATGGTTTTTCATGTAGCTTTCATTTGAAACATAACAGACTGGCAGTCACTAATGGTAGCAGTAATACGATTGAGGTGTATGATTTACTGTAAATCCAATAAACTGACACTAATCAAAATAATAATATTAAACTAAATAAAAATTATGTAGGCTATTTACAAGTTCAATAGATTTAGTTATGAACTTACATGAATTTAATATTCTATTTATCACATACCGGTACCAAAAATAAAGACCGGTTGAAGTGAAGAAGAACCATGTATCTATCATTGACGTGCCTGAAGTATTAAGCTAACATTTAACCCGTCTTAACGCTATGTTTGTATAGCGCAAATGACGTCAAGATAAAATATATATGCAAATCCGCGTAATACCATTGTTACGGAGTTGCAAAAGCGGCACGGGTATGTGATATTGAAGTTTTATTATGCTAAGATAAAGGGGATAATTTGCTTGTATTATATTTCACTGCTTATTGTATGTGTTATGTATGTGCTTCTGTGTGATTGTAATGTGAAATATTATTTAGAGTTCAATTTCGTACACAAGATAAGTATTCCTTGATTCTGACAGACTTTTTCAAAATATATGAATGTTTGAGGCATTATTAAATTGTATTCTATACGAAAAAATGTGTATTTTTTCTAGCGTCTCCAAGGAGTTATTCCTTTGAACCCAAGCACTGAATAAAAAAGGTACAAGCTGTACCCCACGTTCCATTTATGATAAAAGTATATTCCCTCTTTCTAAAATTATCAATTTTAAACAAAACTTACAGTGACTTTCACTTTCAAGCTAGGTACATATAGTTTTTCCTGTCAACACCCTTCTTCACTAAAATTTTTGTAGAATACTTTTGTTATTCCAGTAGATTTAAGTCACAATAAGTATAAATCAAACAACTGACCTCAATTTAAGATCATTGAGGAACATTACTTGAAAATGACGTTTTCCTTTTATACGGACAACAGAATTTTACTGCCAAACTGTTTTCGTTTAGTGAAAATTACGAAAATAAAGTCTATGACAAGTGGAATCCAAACCTGTACATGTTTTGATCAAACAGTGACTATTTCCTGAGTGAACCACTGATGGGGTAGGTTGTGACTCACACCTACTTTTATTTTATCCATTAAACAATAGTAGTATAAATTTCATAAACTGGTCAAAAATAAGTTTGGTAGCTATGCCTCTTTTTATTGTGTCCTAAAACTTAATAAAAACACTCAATATGGGTTGGGTTGGGTTATCTCATGCCTACTTTTATTGCTTAAATCTCTCAAAATTGTCTAATTTCATAAGAAAGAAAATACTTCTATAAGTTAGCAAATAACAGGTTTGATAGCCACGCTTATTTCTATTACTTTTACAAATGTACTACACAGTACTAGTTAATTTCATAACTTATGAAATTGAACAGTAGTGTGGTGAAATCAATAGAAATAGGCGTGGCTACTCAAGACAGATAAAAGGTAGGTTGGGTTGCCAAGCCTATTCCCACTGATTCCTTCATATGATTTTTTATAATTAAGATCTCCTAGTGTTCCAACATGGTCAAGGAACAGCTGAGTTTATAAAACTAAATTCACGTCCTATAAGCAAAGACTTTATTTACGACTATGTTTTTGTAATAGAATGAGTGTTTAATATACATTTGTTTTCAGAGGGAAGAAAAGAAGACAAAAACCATATAATTTTCAGAGTGATTTATTATTACAAACTTGACTCTAAGTGCTCACAATTTAAAGACAAATAATGCATGAGTATTAAAAAGTCAACAGTTAGTGAAGCGATATGTCATAATATATACTCATAATTATATAATAATAGTATATAAATGTACAATTAATACATAAAATACACTTATAATAATTATCAAAATAAACTAGTACATAATTATATTATACAAAAATACACAAATATTGTAAATGATTTTTAGAAGATAACTTTACTTAATTAGATTCTATAAAATTAAACTGGGATCCTGGGTTAAAAAACTGAATATTAAAATCATCAAAAAATTCAGATAATCAAAAATTACTTTTTCCCAAAAACATACTAAAATATGTAATGGACAAAGTTTTTTATATTTATAACAAGAGGGTCATGATGGCCCTGAAGTCGCTCACCTGTATATAGGCCCCTGGAGCGGGGCCAGTTTAAACCCCAGGGCTTTTATTTGAACAAACTTGGTAGACACCCATTAGAAGATATTTCATGCTTAACATCTAAGGTCTAGCTGGTCAAGTTTTTTTCTTTACACATATAGTTAAAAACAATGACACACCTGGGGCAGGGCCAGTTTTGACCCAAGGGCTTTTATTTGAACAATCTTTGTAGACACTTACTAGAAAATGTTTCATGCTTAATATCTAAACTCTAGCTATTCGGGTTTTTTCAAAGAAGGAAAATCAATGTCAGCCGGGGCGGGGCCAATTTTGACCCAAGGGCTTTTATTTGAACAAACTTTGTAGACACTCACTAGAAGATGCTTCGTGCTTAATGTCTAAACTCTAGCTATTTGAGTTTTTTTTGAAGAAGACTTTTTAAAGTTTTTGTATAACACATATAAGGAAAAGGAATGACCCCCGGGGCCGGGCCTATTTTGACCCCAGGGCTTTTATTTGAACAAACTTAGTAGACGCTCACAAGAAGATGTTTCATGCTTAGTATCTAAACTCTAGCTATTTGGTTTTTTCAAAGAAGATTTTTAAGTTTTTGCTATACACATATAAGGAAAATCAATGACCCCCGGGGCGGGGCCAATTTTGAGCTCACGTCATTTATTTGAACAAACTTGGTAGACATCTATTAGAACATGTTTCATGCTAAATATCTTAGCTCTAGCTCTTTGAGTTCTTTAAAAGAAAATTTTTTAAGTTTTTACTATATGCATATAGGGAAAATCAATGACCCCCTTGGGCGGGGCCAATTTTAACCCCACGGCTTTTATTTGAACAAACTTGGTAGACATTCATTAGAACATGTTTCATGCCAAATTTGTAAGCTCTAGCTCTTTGGGTTTTTTAGAAGAAGATTTTTTAAGTTTTTTAAGTTAAGTTTTTACTTTATGCATATAGGGAAAATCAATGACCCCCTGGGGCGGGGCCAATTTTGACCCCAGGGCTTTTATTTGAACAAACTTGGTAGACACCCATTAGAAGATGTTTCATGCTTAATATCTTAGCTCTAGCTCTTTGGCTTGTTTAAAAGAAGATTTTTTAAGTTTTTACTATATGCATATAGGGAAAATCAATGACCCCCTGGGGCGGGGCCAATTTTGACCCCAGGGCTTTTATTTGAACAAACTTGGTAGACATTCACTAGAAGATGTTTCATGCCAAATATCTAAGCTCTAGCTCTTTTGGTTTTTTAGAAGAAGATGTTTAAAGTTTTTTTCTTTTGGTTGCCATGGCAACCAGAGTTCTGCATGGAATGGAATTCTTTGAACAACTTTGTTAAGGCTTTACACAAGGAACATCCCTGTGAAGTTACATTATGATCTGCCTTATGGGTTAGAGGAGATGTCGTTTGAAAAGTGTGAACGGACAACGTACGACGGACGACAGACGACGGACGAAGAGTGATCCTAATAGCTCACCCTGAGCATATGCTCAGGTGAGCTAAAAACAGGATTTATTTCATAGAGTAATACCAAAAATAAATATTTCATTAGTGAAATATGATAATTTGCATAACCTCAAAATGAAAATAAATCCTGTACGTTTTTTATTAATAGGAAAACTTTACATTTTCTGTTTATTATATACATTTTACTCTTTTTTAATATTACAATTTGGAAGACTTCCCTCTAAATTTTGTGTATTGGCTGAAGTTAGAAGAACCTAGTAATAATATAGCTAAATGGCAAAAACATGTACAAATATAAACTGACAAAATGTATGCATCTATTGACACTAAAGTGAAAAATAAACAATAATGAAACAAATTTGAATAAAAATACAAAGCTTTATTCACTTGCTAGTGCTTTTCGAAAAATGTATGAGTATCTTTTTAAAGGCACATTATGCCTCGGAAATTAAGTCTTTTTTTAATTCTTAAAAAATGTTAAACATGTCTTTAACAGGGTACTTCAGTACTTTGATTCAAAAATGAATCTTATTATCAAACACCTTGTATACTGTGCCTCATAAGCTTTAGGGTATAAAGAACAGTTTTTCTTATGCTGTAAACTAGAAAACAAATTTTGTTGGTGCATATAATAAAATTGCAGGATATAAAATTTTGTCAGCCTAAACAGGTCACTCTGGCAAAATCTCTGATAAATAAACAGTACAGCATTTGTAACAATGTTTGATGATAAAAATATATCATGGATTTATCAAAGTTGTTAATAAAGTCCCTGACTGTTCTGACAGAAAAATTCCTAAATATTACAAAACAATATCCCTGACTTTATACTGATATTATTTAATCAACCCTGATGAACTGATAATTCACTCAGTTACTGGGGAAGTTTACCCTGACAATTTTCTATAATTAATTTTACAATTTCATTCAAAAAAATTAAAAACACAAAAAGTATTCAAAAACATGAATAAGTTACTGAAACAAAACAAAATATATCTACTATTTATATACTCAGATAAGAAAAATAAACCACTTATAAGGTCTTACTCGATACAGGGGTAGATATTTACTTATTGATTAAGCATACTTTGACCCATTTAACTACATTTTAACATTTTTTTCTTACTGTCAAACCATTGGAAAAAAGACATCGCACATTCCAAAAAATACCTCAATGTCTCTTTTACAAGTGGAATAAGTCGGACTAAGGTAATTATGAAACTTATTGTGTACATATTCATTTTTGATAAAAATGAAGCAAGACAAAACCTTTCATTTACAATGGCAACCTCTGTATAGCAACCGCCCTTTGGGAGATAAAAAAAGTTTACTTGCTGCTGAGAAGTTTTGTCCTACAGAATTTATGCTTACTATCTGGAAACTAAGTGATCCCTCAGAAGCATTAATCACAACAAAATTACATGAAAATTGCAGGCTCGGTTTGATTGAGTCTGTACATGAGGGGTAATGAATAAGTACAACATCCCTCAAACCCCCTAGCACCAGGGTGAGCGGTACTCAATTCACAACACTTAATAGTGCTGGCACCAGTGATCCCGAAGGACCAGAAGTGATATGAAGTATGAAGTCTTACTTAGAGAAAAATGGTATGGATGCTATAAGGAGGTGATTTCACTACAGAGGGTCTCTCTGTAGAGGTTACCCTGTATATATTATTCAGGAAAAACATTTTCAAATTCTGAAACTTCGTTAACTACATGTATGTGAAATTTAATTTGTCATTCTCCAAACACATGTCTTCTTACAGACTGTTTATTCTTGATTTGTTGTTAACCCACGCTTACATAAAAAATAACATTTTTCTCATAATTGATGGCAAAAGGTAGAGAGAATCTGGAGATGATGGAAGGACAGCATGCTCAACTATTCTCGGTGTTTGACCTTGATAATGTGTTTTTTTCTTTAGTTTCAAAAGGACAATAATTATGTCAAAAACCATGTCTTGGACATGCCATGGACCTTGGACAGTGACCTATTATGCTCTCAAATAAGTGTTGAAGTTTCAACCCATTCCCTTTTAGTAGTTTTGGAGATACCAACTTGCATGCAAAATCTGAACCAAATTGAATGCCAACGTCGTAGCAACAGTTTTTTAAAAACACATCAACACATTTTGCTAAACTTTAATCTATTCTTACAACAAATTACTTGGCACTGATTGAGTATTTAATCATAAAAAGAAATGTATTAAAAATGATAGAATAAAGAAATTTGCGAGTTTCCATCACTATGCAGGTTTTAATTACACTGTTTCTAAATAAATAAAGGAACCAAGCATCATCTTTTGTGACAAGAGAGACAACACTTGGTTCCGTAGAAAGAATGATTACAGATATTGTGTTTCGGCACGAGATGACACCATGAAAACTCGTCAAAACACGAAGGACCTGAAACGAAAACAAATAAAACGTGTTAAAATCTAAACTATAGATACAGTTTATTTAACCAAAAGTATGCTAGATCCAAAAGTGCTCAGCATTTAGTTAATTAAAATTTCTTTAAGGATCATCACAGATTATGTGGGAAGCTTGTTGAAAGACGAAATGATGTTTGGCGGTAGCACAGTAGTACAGTAAGTCATGAATTGGTTTTAATTTATTGACAATATTACGAGCATTCAACGTTTGCAAGCCAGTTACAAAAGGTGGGAAGGCGATAACAAACCAGCTTATAGTAAACATATTATGTGTGATTATCATGCGACACCAGGTTAAACAAAACTAATTCGAACTGTCTTTTTACAAATACAATTACAATAATTTGAACGATAACACTAAGAGCATTTTATCACACGTGTTAAGGCATATAAAGGCTGTTAGAACACACTGCTGTGTAATAATCATCTGTCACACAAAGTGATTGGAAATCATCTTTGCGACCAGAAAAGAAGTAAAAAATGTCTCGAGATTGAAGGTAGCAAATTAGTCCAAGGATTTCGACTTATTAATTGTAAATTGTACTCTTTACTATATAAGGACCACGAGAAATCTATGACACAATTAAAAATTCGACTCATAAAATGCCGACTCATCTGTAGGTTTTTATATAGAATATAGATCTATAGCGGAAAAAGTCAAGATGGCCATTTAACTTTACAAATGAAATTTCTACAGACGGAAATCCGCCGTTAATAAACCCGCACCGGCGTTAAAAATTCCTAGAAAAGTGTAAGGCAGCTAAGTCTCCCATGCTACTCAAAACGCCACCCAGAACTTCATAATCTGAAACTGTTATAAGAAATGTGAAAAAATCACAATGTTGACCCTTAATTCATGCATAAATGTGAAAAAGTAATCCCTCAAGAAAGTTTTTCTCATCATAATTTTACAAACATATACCTGATTAAAGCATCATACCTTCTACAAAACCATGTTGAAATTTGCTTTAAACAAATTAAATCATTATATACTGTATATAAATGTATAACTTGAAATATAAATACTGAAGCATCATGTCTACGTCGCTCAGATTTATCACATTAATGGGAGATAGATAGATCATGGTGATATATCATGCATGGTATAAGCACCAACAACAATCAGTTAGAAACTTTAAGTTTTAACTCCTTATCACCGAAGGTAGTCATGCACGTGCTGTCGGTAAGGTATAGTTACAGAAACTTTGTATACCGTTATGTAATACTTCAAAATCCGTAAAATTCACTTCGGAATCCGACAATACCTAGGTCATTGAATATTCAAATGTCTCGGGTCAATATTGCCAAACAATAATCATTGTAATTGAAAACATTTAAGATTAAAAATCTGTAGGACAAAAGATAAACCAGGGCTTCTATATCAAATAAAGAGGTATATGGTTACTACGATCAATTCACAGTAATATAATAGACTATGTTTAAAGTTTGCATCTAACTACCCTTCATGATTGTTTAAATAATTGGTCACTTACTGCCTTAAATGATTGATTTTGTAAATATTGTAAATGACACAAATAGCGTTTCCTGTTAGTAAACTTATATAATTTCACAAACGGTAAAATAAGTCTTTGTATTGTGATTTAAGTGCATAGCTTTCTTTAGCGACCTAATATTTTCATATGGCATTTATTATACATGTACATGATTTATAACTACCTCAAATAACAAAGTCCATACATTGTACACTGATAATGCTATCAGTAGATCTATTCAGATAAAAACAAGACTAGGATGATTTAAAGTATTAAATAGAATGACTACACTTTAAATTTCAACTCTGAATACAATAACGCTGTTTACATTTCGAATTTAAACTTGTTAAACTGATAATCAATATCCTTGTTATGTTTTTTGTAGTAACTAGGAAGTACAAAACGACATTGTAGAAAATGGCGGACGGAGGTGTTGGATCAGATGAATTTGTCAACTTTAAATGTTGTTTATGTGAAAAGAAGAATATAACAAAAGAGGCGGATATTTATTGTGTGGAATGTCAGGATTATTATTGTACACCATGTACAGACTTGCACAAAATGTTTCCTGCAATGAGCACGCATCAGTTTATAGACAAGTCAAGTTTTAACACAGTTAGCTTACAGAAATCGTTGCCAAGTTTTCCAGTTGAAAAATGTGAAGCTCATAAAACCAAGCTGCTAGATATGTATTGTGCTGACCACGATGATGTAGCATGTGCGACCTGTATAGCTATAAAACACAGGTTTGATTTATTTAATTATTGTATTTAATTGAATTGAAATTAAAAGTTTAGGCAGTTGCATTTTTAAATCAATGTACATTTACCTGAAACTGAATTAAAGACAATTCATATATCTGTTATTATTATTTTACAAGCTTGTAGAAAACATAAAAGGACATGATATAAGCTTATTTCATCCAGTTATTGTTCCTGTTCATATGATATCAAAGTTAATCAGTAAAGATATCTGAGCCAGTATTATAACAAACTAGATGCTCAAGGGCAACATGTCGAGTCCGCTGTCGTATTTTACCTTTAAGTATGACCTTGAGTTTTGACGTAGTCAACAATTCTTAAGCACGGCATGCCGTCCCATGATGTTGAACATCTGTGCCAGGTTATTTTTAATTACTTTAGCTATAAAGTTATGGTGCAGTCAATCTGTTTGAGACAATTTTTTCTTGCATTTGACCTTAAACTTTGACCTTGACCTTTGACATAGCCACACGGTTCATGTGCGCTACACACCATTTTATTACTGTAAACATTTCTGCAAAATTATTTGAAATTCTGTGAAGTAATGACAGAGTTACACCAAGACAGGCATAATACGGACATATGCACTGACACACACACACGCACACACGCACGCACGCACAGGCGCGCATTTACACCAAACCACCATTGTGAGAGCTATATCAAGCTTGCCGCATGCAGGCTCAACAAAAATAGACAGACATAAACAGATATTTCAAATACCATGTTCCTTAGCAACACAACATACTGCCTCGGAATATTTCTATTATCTATTTTCTCAATTTAAGACACAATTGGTTAGTTAGTCATATGATGATATATATGTCAGTTACCTTAAAGGCACAGCATGCCTTAAAAATAAATAATATTTTCCTTTTGTATTAAGGAAATAAATGTGTTTTATAATGTTGTAATTATGGATTTAGAACATGTGAGACGCTAATCACCTGAGAAAATTGCCTTGAATGTGATATAATTAGTAATAAAGATAGTAAAATGTAAAGAAAGTGGTATTGTGACAAAATACTCACTATAGTAGCTGTATTTCTATAATGTCTAAATGCAAAAGAAGCAAAATAAGACTGAGCTTTACATGTATAGCAAATGAATAGATTTTTGTAAAATGTAACACGGCAGCACGAAAATAATTGCTTTGAAAATAATCATAGCATTTATAAAGTTAAATGAGCTGTTAACTAATATCACAAATCATTCTCATAATTTCAGTATTTTTATATTAAAATTTTCAGAACCTGCCAACATATACATTCGATACCAGATGAAGTTGATGACTTATGTAAGGAGATAGATGCTGATAAAACAAATATTGAGCTGATTCGCATAAAAACTAAAATTGAGGAGGCTGAGAGAGCAAAGAAATTTCTTATCAAAGAGCTCAATGCACAGAAGGAGAAAGCAACAGAGTCAATAAGACAATTCAGAAAAGAAATGGAAGTAATACTTGATACACTTGAAAAGGCTACATTAAAAACTTTAGAGGAAAAGTACAAAAATGGCAAAGAGAAACTAGAGAACGAGATTAAAAACTTACATAGACATATTGATGAACTCAAACTATCATCACAAAAACTAACAAAGTCAGTTGGGAATAAAGCACAGGAGTTTGTCGCTGTGAAAACTTCTCGGAAACAAATCATTGAAGCTAATGAAGCAGAAGCTGAGTCTGTGACAAATTCATCAGATGTTAAAGTTGAATTCATTGCTGATTCGACAATAAAGGATGCTTTGAAAGACTTCAAGACATTTGGATTAATTTCAGTGAGTAATACTGAAAATATAAGAGACAAAATGTATGTTGTGAAAAGCAAGAAACAAGTCAACATCAAACATCAAAATGATAGGAAGACATGTAATGTTTATGGTTCATGTTTCACAGATGATGGACTATTATTTCTAGCTGACTATGACAACAAAACATTAAAGCTTATTGATTTGTCCTCAGAATCCATAAAAAAAAGCTAAATCTGGAATCATCTCCAATAAAAATTTGTCAAATAAATAAAAACGACTTTGCAGTTAGTTTGACCAATCAAACGATTCAATTTGTTACAATGGACAACAAAATTATTACCACCAAACGACTGAAGCTAGATCATTACTGTTACGGACTGGCCTACAAAGACAACAAACTATTCACCTCTGATTCTAATACTGCGCTCTACATTTATGATATGAATGGCATCCTGTTGCAAAAAATCACAACTGATAAACAAGGCAATGCAATTTTTAAGTACAACAGAGGTATCAGTGTTAGCAGTGATGGCAAGATGATTTATGTGGCTGATAAAAATAAAGGTTTGATTGTCCTTGACCTTGAGGGAAATTACAAGACAACAATTACTGATCCGGATTTTATAAATCTAGTTGGAGTTTGTACAGACACACGAGGAAACATATTTGTGTGTGGGTGGTTGGATTCCAAAATTGTCCAGATCAATGAGAAGACTACTGAAAAATTGGGCGTACTTGGCAATGTTCGTAATGGTTATTCTTGTAGCTTTCATTTGAAACATAATAGACTGGCTGTTACTTTTAACAGCAGTGATACAATTGAGGTGTATGATTTACTTTAAATCCAATAAAGTGACACCAATCAAAATATTGATATTAAACTAAATAAAAAATATTTGGGCTATTCACACATACTATTATCACAAATGTTTAACTACAAAAAAGCGTCAAATTCTTTTTAATGTAAACATTTTTATGTATTTCGTTAAATTTAAGTCCCATTAATGGTTTTTTCAAATATTCAAAAATTTTGGAATATAATCTACATAGTATTAATGCATGAGTAATACAAAGAGGACATGAATGAGTGTAAGTGTAATACTGAATCTATTGAACAAGTTAGATAAAATTATATTATTTAAGCCTTTGTCGATTATTATATCATTTTATCCAACAAATTCAATAAATTTAGTCATGAACTTACACAAATTTAATATTCTATTTGTCACATATCAAAACTAAAATCCGTTTGAAGTGAAAAAGAACCAAAGAACCATTTTTCATTGACGCGTCTAAAGTATAACGCTAACAATTAACACGTCTTTACGCTATGATTGTATAGCCCAAATGACGTCATGTCAAAATATATGCACGGCCATGAAATACCATTTTTACGAAGTAGCAAAAGCTAATTTGTGATAATGAAGTTTTATTATGCTAAGATAAAGGGGGTATGCTTGTATTATATTTCACTGCTTATATTATGTGTGATGTATGTGCTTCTATGTGACTGTAATGTGAAATATTATCAATAGTTCAATTCTGTACACAAGATAAGTATGCTTTGATTCAGACAGACTTGTTAAAAATGTATGAATGATTGAGGCTTTATTAAATTGCATTCAAAACCAAAAAATGTGTATCTTAGTTTAGCATCTCCAATGAATAATTATGTACCTTTGTACCAAGCACTGAATAAGAAAAGCAGGTTGTAATCGAGTATATGATTTCTTATGTGTTTAAATAAAAGACCCACTGCTTGGCGGGGGGAAAGGGGGAGAGGGGGTTACGGTGCTTTGGGAGCATGATCGACTTTTTCTTATTTCCTAGGTCAAACACATCATCGGAGGATGAATACTGTATTAAAGTCTTTAACACCCTTTTAATTCAAGGTCCATAACTCGTTGCGCATGTAATATGCGCAAGAACTTGAGCTACAAGATAATCCTTTCAAGTTTCATAAAAACTGCATTAAAAAGTAGTCATGACAAACTTTAAAATCAAAATTATAAAAGGGCCATTACTCTGACAAAAATCATTGAAACTGAAATTGCTCACATCATGCACAACTAAACTTAATAGTGAATATTCGTGTAAGTTTGGATGAAATAGCACCAATAGTTTTTGTGGAGTAGTCCAGAAAAACTTTGTTACGGACGGACAGATGATGTAAAAGTGATCCGTATATGTCGCCACTATAAAGTAATACACTATAAATCTGGCTTTAAAAATGTACATATCTGATTTCCTTGCTTACTGAATAAAATTGTCAAGGAACGTATCTATATTCTTAAAGAAAATAGTGTTTTGTTAGTCTAAAACATTTAACTGGGTAAAATATTTCAATCATCATTGTGTGTACTCATTTATACTAATGGAACATTTTTTAAATATTTAAATATTGCATTTGTATTGTAAATGCAATGAAACTTGCAGTAATAATTCAAGCAACTGCATGTCAACAAGCAAATCTAAACATCTATTTTGTTATTTAACTGTTGACTTTCTGGATTAGAAAGTGATCAGCTTTTGCCACCAATATAAAGCAACACTAGCCTGCACAACACCCACAGTCTGACCATGTTCCATACAGTCTGAAGCTAAATTTTAGTGTTTTTTTTTTAAATGAAATTGATTAAAAATTGAAATGGACTGCTCCGGAATCAAGGAAGATTAAATCCATTTGACAAATTCAGCAGCACGTTTAAGGTAATTTGTATGCATGTACATCAAATTGGCGCGCAAAATTGTGTCTCTGCATAAATGCCATTCTCATGAAAACGCGAATTATTGTGTCCGAGAAAGTTGCTAGGGATACAGTAACTAGTAATGAAAAAATAAATCAACTGACATTGGTCTACATGGTTGAGTATTACATGGATAAGTTCCGGCTCCAGCTTTCTGCCCTCCGTAACAATAAGCCGGGTCCACTTCCACTTCCTTGTCTCTATGGCAATGAGCCGTAACAATAAGTTCACATATTTCAAAAGAAAGAAAAAACATTCTTTAGATTCTGGACAGTTTATGGAAAAAAACCATAAATTTGCTTTTCGAACTTAGGTCCATTTACCTGACATGTCTAAATGAGGAAAATAAAACGATAGAGGGTCAATGTAACTTTTTTCATGCATTAACATCTGCAAATGCATGTCAACATATTTAATTAAAGCCCAAGCCAGCAGAGTGAAGGATTTAATAGATTCAATGTCATTTGCAGATGTTAATGCACCAAATTAAGTGCATTAGCACTATTTGTACATAAAAGTGTGTATCTAATTCTGTTATTCCGCATTTCATTATTTGATTTTCATATAAGGAAATCAATTTCGCCATGCTTTTCATGTGCTGACACTTATCCCATATGCCTTCTAAATCAGAAGTGGAAAACTCATGACCTTTAAACTTGTGTCTGAGATCAACTGTAACAGAAAAATAACCAATAGACTAAATGTCTTAAATCAATTCTTAAAGAAAGATTTGAGCTCTATTGAGCTGAGTAGAAAAAACTCTTCAACTCTTACGAATACTTAAGAAAAAATATCGAAATTTAAGCTAGTAATATTTTACCTCCAGCACATTGTTGACTACACTCAATGAGTACCACACTTCATGTAAAGTTGTACAATGATGGAGGGTTATAGTTCTAATTTCTAGGCACAGTAAAACTGTTGTGAATGCCATGGTCAATACCTGATACAGAAAGAATTATTCAGTTTGACTATATGTCAATACATGATTAATACAAAATGGTGCTACAGACCTAAAATGACAACGACAAAATGTGCCACACAAAAGCTTTTGAGATGTTATTCTTTAAAAATATCCTGATCTAATTTGATTTTAGTAACTCCATATATGCAGAATCAAGTTCTTCTGGGATCATGACATAATTCTTTCCAACATGACACTATGCCTAAGTAACAATTTTGTCCAGGAAGTAGAAAATAAATACGTTCCAAGCTTTTATCATAATCCAGCTCAAAAGAGTATTGTGTTTCAATTTACTCGTATATTCATTCTTAATGTGCTACTAGTTTGTTTGTATTTAAAAACTACAGACTTCTACATACAATATTCAATCAAATGACTTAGAAAAGTATATATTTAAAAACTTACTTTGATCTATACAGTACCTGACTGACATTTTGTATAAGTACTTTCTTTATGTATGATTAGATGATCTACAAATCAAAATCGACAGTGACAAATACCTTTGCCTGAGACAAGCCTGATACAACTTAACTGGTACACAACAATAAAACTTTCCATACTTGTCTTACCTCTAACACCAAATCTTCTTGTATAGGTCCATCAGCAACTAGTGACTCGTGAAAATTGTAAGGTCGTCAGTAAATAATTAAACTATGCTGTACACGCCCTCTGGGTCAAGTTTCCAGTTTCCGTTCAGATGATACTCTCCGTGCCTGTCTCGTAAATCAAGGAAATTGCTACGGGCAATTCACGTCTCTTCTAATTTAATACTACTTGACCCTCTGGGTAAATATACCATACCCATATATGCTTAAGTGAAGGCCATTTAAAGCTCAAGTTCAATGTCAGTTCAACCTTTGAGAAGGTATTGCCCAAAATGTTGTTGTGTCAAAGTATGAAGCTAATGCGTTGATTAATTACCAAGTTTTTATGCACTGCACTTCTACTCAATGAGATCTACATTTATCTTCATGCAAAGTTTCTTGTTGATACCTCTTGTAGTTTCAAGGTTAATAAGACAATGAAGATGTACGGTTCTATCGCACTGCACATCTATCTAATTAGATTAATTTACCCACAAAGTTTCCAATTGATGTAGTTTCAGAGTTATGTCCTGGACAAAGAACAAAGTGTAAAAATGAACAAAGGGCAATTACTCAAAAATAGGCAATGCAGAGTAACTGTTCTTTTGCACTGCACATATACCATATGGATCTATCTATCTACAAAGCTTCTTGATAATATCTCTTATAGTTTGAGAGTAATGTCTCGGACAGCAAAAGGGGACGGACGTTCAGACAAACCGGCGACTATATCCTCTTCTTTTGGGGACCATAAAAAGGAGCATACCTCTTACATATTGCTTAAATGAGTAACACCTATTGACTTTAAAGTGTTTGAGTAATAGGCTACAATAAAAGTTTGCACAATAGCCATGACCACCCAGCGATCAAAGCAATAAAAAGAACTGTAAGGTTTTATTGAAACAATAGTTTTACTGATATAATTGGCAATGGTTGTCGAGCCCTTGTGTAGGTCAATTTGAACATCCCACGTCACATATATACAGCACAGGTATATTCCCACTTTCCAAAAAAGTATAAATTTTAAACAAACTAGTAGTGACTTTAAAATTCAAGCTAGGGAAATATAGTTTTTCCTTGCAACACCCTCCTTCATTAAAGTTCAGGTAATTCCAATAGATTTAAGTCACAATATGTCTAGATCATTGAGGAACATTATTTGTAAATGAAGGACAACAGAATTTTTGTTTAGGGAAAATCACCGAAAATAAGGTCTATGACAAGAAGAATCTAAACCTGTACATGTTTTTATTAAAAAAATGGTAGTATACATTTTATTAACTGGGACAAAATGAGTTTGGTAGCTTTTATTAACTGGGACAAAATGAGTTTGGTAGCTGTGCCTATTTTCATTGTATCCTAAAACTTCATAAACACACTCAAGATGGGTTGGGTTGGGTTGTCTCATGCCTATTTTTATTGCTTCAAATATCTCTGAACTGTCATATTTCATAAGAAAGAAAATATTTTCATAAGTTAGCAATAACGGGTTGGGTAGCTATGCCTATTTCTATTGCTTTCAATACACAGTACTATTTAATTTCATTAGTTGGTTAAATTAACTAACTTATGGAATTGAACAGTAGTGTGATGAAAGAAATAGAAAAGGCGTGGCTACCCAAGATAGACAAAAGGTACGCTGGGTATCCACGCCTATTCCCACTGATTCCTTCATATGCATATGATTTTTGACACTTTAAATCTCCTAGTGTTCCCACATGGTCAAGAACAGCTGAATTTAGAAAACTAAATTCACAGTCTATCAGCAAAAACTTTCTATAAAATATAATCAATATCAAAAGAAATCAGAACATAATAATAATATACAAAAATACCCAAATATTGTAGATGAATTATAGTAGAAAACTTTACTTAATCAAAGCTGGGATCCTGGGCAATAAAAATTGAGTGTAAAAAGTCATCAAAGATAATCAAAAATTGCTTTTTCCCCCAAACATACTCAAAAAAATTATATAAAGAATAATGTGTTTTTATAATTATAAAATCAGGATTGATTTCATATAGTAATAAGAAAGTAAATATTTAATGACTGAAATATGATAATTTGCATAACCCCAAGATGAAAATAAATTATGTACGTATTTTATTTATATACGAGTAAAAACCTTACATTTTCTTTTAATTATATACATTTTACTCTTTTTTAACATAACAATTTGGAAAACTTCCCTCTAAAGTCCGTGTATTGGCTGAAGTAAGAAGGACGTAGTCTGGCAATGATGCCAAAAATATAACTTTTTATGTTACTAAAAAGTTGTCATTTAAGTTGTAACAATTGCATATAAATTGTTTTGATCATTACTAAACATG